TCCTGATTATACTTACATTAAGTAATGTTTATACCTGATTATACTCAATTAAGTAACATTTTTGACGCTCTCGACCTAGTGACATTTAGCTACCAGTTTTAGCTACTTTCAATTGAAAGCAGTTGGCAACACTGGTGAACGCACTGTTAGACGCATCCCGTGACGCCATCGCAACGCGCATTCAGTCAAAGAAAGGATTCTCCGTTCCAAAAATGGAATGAACAGCCTTGCGTTCTCATCATGACCAAATTTACAAGAGCTACACTGGACAAACGAACCGAAAGCGGAACGAAACCGCGTTACGAATACGCTACTCGTTTGGGCTACGCAAATCTCGATCACGCGACACCGTTATACACAGCGCTGGGAGATACAGTGAAGAAAGCAGTCCAATTCACCGCAGAATCAATAACATCTCTGTGAAATCTTGTGAGAAGCAGAGTTCTGTTGTATAAATGTAAGGAATTATTATTATTATTATTGGTGCTGGAGTCCTCAAATGTTAGTCTGGAGCCCTACAATGGTTCTCGAAGTCAGAAAAGTCAATACAATGTTAGAAGAATGTTGTCTGTGGTATATTTTCACTGTAAAACAATAAGAAATGCCGCAAATTTTGAGAAAAGCCGCAGCAAAATCAGTCAATTTAGGCCGCAAAAATCAGAAAAGGTCCTGCGAAACCCTGGAGGGACTGATTAGTGCTGGGCAACAATTAATCACATCCAAAATAAAAGTTTTTGTTTACATAGTAAATGTGTGTGTGCTGTGTACATTTATTATGTACATATAAATACAAACACACATGCATGTATATATTTAAGAAAAATATGTTACGTTTATATATTAAATGTATTTATATATAGTATAAATTATATGAATATAAATGCATATACATGTAAATATTTTCAAAATATATACTGTATGTGCGTGTTTATATATATATATATACACAGTACACACACATATACTATGTAAACAAACTTTTATTGTGGATGCGATTAATCGCGATTAATCGTTTGACGGCACTATTCTTATAAGCTATATTATATATAAATGCATTTAATATATAAACATAACATATTTTTTTCTATGTAATAAAAATATAGGTATCGGCATCGGTATCGGCAAGTACCAAAAATAAAAGTATCGGTATCGGGCGAGTACTGGAAAAAGTGGTATCGGTGCATCCCTAAAATATATGCATGCATGTGAGTGTATATTATATATGCATTTTATATAAACAAACCTGTTTTTGCATGCGATTAATCGCGATTAATCGTTTGAGAGCACTAGTATCAATGCTGTTTTGCGTCTATATTATGTCTTTTTTCAAACTAGTGGAAAGAAAACGTCCAAAATACATATTTAAGTGTTTCTTTTATTGCACTTTGTCTGTTTGCATCTGTAGATTTAATTTCCAATCCATATCTTTAAACAGCAAACTTTGCCTGATTCCCAGGCGATGCGTGAACTGATCAAATCAACGCAAGTCAGTTTGGATAAAGCGTCTGTCAGATGCATGAATGTGTTGCTGTGTGTTTCAGGTGTGTTTTAATGATCCAGCCGTCATCACAGCGATCCCAGAACACAGAAATCAACCCACAGCACACAAACCTCGACACAGAGACAAGCTCGGTACAACAGTCTTTAGACGTTTGCACTGGAAAATACGTTTTTGATTTTCCTTCAAAAACCCTGTTTAGGAGTTAATTGTGTCATGAAAGTAACTCCACAATGCACTAAACAGTCTTGATGCTCCTAGTAATGGAGTTAAACCTGAAAGGTGTCTGTAAAGTGAGATAATTTATGAAAATAAGGTTTAATCTGGAGATGATTCACATCTGCGTGTTCTGTCATGAATCAGTCACACGAGTCTGCATGTGTTCGTTAATCAGCTCTGGTGACGGAGGGGGCGGAGCTAAACAGCACCCTGGCGCTGAGGGCGGAGCTTGAGGAAGTGGAGAGCCAGGTGTTTGATCCTGAGAAAGCCGTGAAGGAGAAACTTCGGAGTTCAAGCCTCGCAAAGAGCCACATCAGCAGCAGAGCAGCGGAGGGTGAGACGCCACAGCAAACATTCACAGTTCACCGATAACCGATAATCAATGGTTTCGCCTCGTTCTCCACAGGCCTGAATGTCCCTCGCTCTCAGCTCCTGTATCGGGCCTTAGTCAGCGTCAGCCTATCACGCGAGCAGCTCATCAGCCAGGCACTGCAGGATAGGCCAGCACTGGCCCCGCCCCCCGCCACACTGACCAATAAGGTCAGAGCTGTGTTTGTGTCATGTTAATAGCAGAATGAATTTAAAATCTGAGCAATATCTCTGATGAAACAGAGGCAAAAGATGCCGATCTTTAATTACATTTAATAATAATCAGAATATCAATTCTTCTAAGTGCTTTACAGAAACACACACACACACATATATTTAAATATCTCTAGATATATGTGTTTTATATGTGTATGTGCGTGTGTTTATATGTATATATATCTCTAGATATGCATTTTTATTATATATTTATATAATTTATTTTATATTTGTATTTATTTCTCGCTATATTTCTCTCTGTATATATATATTAATATAATAATCAATAATAATTGTATTTATCTGTCTTTCTCTATACGTGTATTTTTAATATATACTTCTATAATATATTTAATATTTTTATTTATTTCTCTCTTTCTGTACAGTAAAATCAAAATAAGAGAATGAAGCACAACTAAAAGATCAAATGCATAAAACAGAAATTTTTTTTTAGGGTGTCTCTGTGTGTGTCTCTGTGTGTGTGTGTGTGTGATTCCAGTCTCAGCCACTAGAGGCTCCTGATCTGCTGCAGTTCTACAGTCCTGACAAGATGCTCAGAGAGACTCCGCTGTTGCCTGGCGACCGCATCCCTTTGCCCCGCCCACAGCCTGTGCCTAGACCCGCCCACACAACCTTTCACCTACATCATCGGCACAAACTCTGGGAGTCATGAACTGTGTGTGTGTGTGTCTCTCTGTGTGTGTGTGTCTCTCTGTGTGTGTGTGTCTCTCTGTGTGTGTGTGTCTCTCTGTGTGTGTGTGTCTCTCTGTGTGTGTGTGTCTCTCTGTGTGTGTGTGTCTCTCTGTGTGTGTGTGTGTGTGAGACTCATTTTGTAAGTTTAATGTATATTAATGTATTGTTTTTTAGCTTAATGTGAATTAATATAATAGCAATAAATCTGTGATTATTTAAATATGATATTGGCAGTGAGTGAATGGACAAACGCACTCTTGCTGGAAGAAATCTCCTGCACAGCAGCTTAACGTTCTCATTACTCATTAAAACAATCAATCCACAAATTAATTAGCTTGAGTCAACAAGAGCACAGACATCATGAGCTGATTTCCTCGCAATCCCAGGAGAAACTCTTTTATAATTCACGCCAGAATGACAAGAAAATTAATTATATTTTGCATGAAGACATTTAGGCTCATTATAATTAAAACTTTTTTCACTCACATTTCCGAAGAACATAATTCTGAGATTACCTTTTTTATTCTGTTGTGGAAACAAAACAAAAAAAACAGAATTGTGAGATATAAACTCGTAATTACGGGAACAAAACTTTGTATCTCGCAGAAAATTAATTATATTTTGCATGAAGACATTTAGGCTCATTATAATTTTTTTGCATTGTGACTATTTTCATAATTAAGCTCATTAACCCCCCAAAATTCATGCTACATATACTGTCTATTTGTATCTTTTTTGTAACACTCCCATGTGCTAAAGCAGTACATTAGTCACAGTATTTATTCTTTGTTATTAATGTTAGTCCGTGTTTGATTTTACATCTGTTCATTTTAATGTGTTCGTAAATGTTGAAATTAACATTCACGTGATTTAAGTGTTTTTTGTTGTTAGTTCATGCAGTTAACTCGTCCTAACAAGTGAAACCTTACTGAGAGCTATTTTTTTTTCTACACTGCAAAAAATTATTTTTGTCTTGTTTTCTAGTATAAATATCTAAAACAAAATCTTGAATTAAGATGCATTTCCTTGACAAGTAAAATGACTTAAGCAAAATTTGGATATTTCTCAGAAAACAAGACAAAATATATCTTAAAACAAGTAAAAAATATCTGCCAATGGGTTAAGAAAAATCTTAATTCAAAGGCTAAACCAGATGAAAAAAAATTCTGAATTCTGAGATTACCTTTTTTTATTCTGTTGTGGAAACAAAAACTAAAAAACAGAATTGTGAGATAAAAACTTGTAATTACGGGAACAAAACTTTGTATCTTGCAATTCTGAGGAAAAAGTCAGAATAGTGACGTTGACTCGCAATTGCGAGAAATCAGTTCTACGTTTACAGTACATCTCACTATTTTGAGTTAATATACCTTAATTCGGACTTTAAGAATTGTGAGTTTATATCTCGCAAGTCAGAAGATAGACAGAATTGCGAGATACTCTCACAATTTATATCTCGCAATTCTGACTTATTTTTTGTTTAATCGAAAAGGTAATTTTAACTTTTTTGCAGTTGTGTGTCTCACAGTTCCAAATGTTCTTCTCAGAAATGCAAGTTTATGTGCAAGAGCTCTGAATCTATATCTTGCAACTCTGACTTTTTTTCTTAAAGTTCTAAGTTTATTTATGATTTATGTAATTTGTTTGTTTCCAACATGGAATGAAACATTTTAAAAAAGTAATTGCAACTTTATCTCACATTTCTTACTTTTTCTAGAAATTAAGAATTTGTCTCACAATTCTGACTTTTCAGAAATGCTAGTTTGTATCTCATAATTCTGAGTTTACGTCTCGCAAATCTGACTTTGTTTCCAGCACAGAATTTAAAAAAAGAAAATTGTGACTTTTCTTGTACATGAACTCTTCATATGTTCAGTGTATATTGCTCAATCATATTTAAAAGCCTTACTTATTTAGTCATTTAATATTCTGCTTTTTATTTCAGAAACATGTCTATAATCTGTCAGAATCACGCATCTGTCAGAATGTCAGAGCAAAGCGTAAACAGAAAAACACACACAAATGAAACTTGCATTCGAAGAATTTTAATGAAACGGCCTGAACAAATATCTGCAATGCATGAATTTATACAGTAGAAATCAATTCAAACATGTCCATAAATCTATATTCATAAATAAAGTCACGTCAGGTACTAAAGGCCTGTGAGTGGAAATATGAACAAAAACAAACAGAAACTCATGCAAACGATAAACAAATAAAGTCACGTCAGCGGTACTAAACGCCTGTGAGTGGAAATGTGAACAAAAACAAACAGAAACTCATGCAAACGATAAACACCAGCGAGCAAAAACATGCCGAAGAACCTCAGGTGTAACTATAAGTGTGCATATCGGCAAGAGAATAAAGGAAACATTTCATCAGGCATTCTTAAATATATTTTCAGCAGCTCTTTATATTGTACAGTATTTACAGACTAATGCATAAAGGTCTGAATGGAGACCGGAGCGCTGCAGTTCATTCAGTTACAAACACATCAAGGCACATTCATAAATATCCATAAAACAGACTCATGTTTAATGATGCCTAGTGACGCATTTCACACGCGGCTCTGAGATCAGCGGATTATTGAAGATTACGTACGCCACAGAGTCATTGCGGTTTATCACACAAATGACAAATTCAAGGTGAAAAGGTGCATCCTTTCTGAGCCAAAGCCTAAAATGTTTTTCTCTTTAACATTTTCCCGCCAAACACAGAATTTTCCGTGTTTTCACGCTAGGGGGCGCTATCACGCATCTCCTGAATGAGTCAAGAAACTCGATCAAAAACACAGACGAGGAAGACGCAGAAACCAGCGATCTCATATGTAAGCATATGCATATGAAAAATAATGCAGCCAACACTAGCCGCATATAAATGAAAACTGACTAATGTTCCCCGAGTGAAATGTGGATCCAGAAAGGACTGTGAAGCTTTGGGAGTACTGATGCAAGCCATCTACTGCAGCTTTGCTGTGATAATATTACTGAATATGATCCAGATGCAGTGTTTGATAAAAATTATGATTTTTTTTCCAGTTTTTTGCTCAAAATGTTGATTTTTTTATGAAACCTACCTACATTCAAGTGTTGATATAAAAACAATGCTTGAAGCTAAAATAAAACTGATTGTTTTGTTTGAAAGTAGAAGGTCTGATCTTTATTTTGATGTATTGCATGTTCAGATATTCATACGGCAAAATATTCTGGCGGCCATCAAATTTTAGTGAAAATCAGCAAAAACGCTGGCGGGGAAAGAGTTAAATGCTTTTTTTCTCTTCAAATTTCTTTGTTCTCATAAATTTTTTGAAAAAGGCTTTTTTTTTCTCTTTTTTTTTTGAAGAGAAGAGAGATGAGAGAAAGAAACATATTTTTTGAAGAGAGGCCTAAAAAATAAAAAAAGTCATATCTGAAGAGAAAGAAATGTTTGTTCATGAGAATAAAAATTTAAGAAAATTCTTTAATAGAGTTTTTTAGAGGAACAGTTTTGGAGAGGGAAAAAATTCTCCAATTTTTATATATATTTTTTTTGGACAGAGACATTTTTGGAGAGAAAAACAATTTGGAAAGAGAAATAAGTTTTTTGGGGGGAGACCAAAAAAATGTAATATAGAAAAAATGAGAAAAACATTTTTTTGAGAGAGAGAGAAAAAAATCCTAGGTCCTTAATCTCAGGAAGGATTTCAGGGCTTCTGCAGTTTCAGAAATGAAAAACATGTTTGTTTCATTAAACCATCAAACTGAACGTCTTACGAGAGTCAAGAAAGCGAGCTCGATCAGCAGAATCCGCTGTCGTTACACAGATAAACTGCATGTAAACTAATGTGAGTGTGAGCAGATTTACACAAACACACACGACTTCACGATTACTATCACACTAGTTTCATGCCAACTCTACAATTCAAAAGATTTTGACGTGTTTTTACAAACTGACGAATCGAAATGATTTTCTGTGACAGATGCTGCTGAAAGAGCTCAACTTTTCATTTATTCGCTGGACTGATATTATATTCATTATACTTCATGAACATAAGCAGTGATAATATTTAACAAACCGTTGGACTAGAATTGCCATCGCGTGTCCGTCACTAGGCAACGTTACATTTCCACCGTGTGTTACCATGGCAACTACGATTTAAGACTTCGGATACGGCGTTCATTCTGTCGTTTATAATATATATCTCCAGGAGATCAATAAATAACTTCATGTCAACACAATCAGCTTGATTTCTGATCATACAGTATATATGAGAGTAGATGCTGTTTACATTTATATAGAGATCCATTAATACAGAAAAACATTCCAGACATTTAGGAGAGCTGAACGTCAATGATAGTGTTGCAGCAACGACTGGAAAAAACAAGCCAAAGAGAATCCTCTGTGTGTGTGTGTGAGAGAGACAGTGAGTGTGTGTGTGTGTGTCTGTGTGTGTGAGTGTGTGTGTGTGTGATTCAGTGGGGGGTCTGTGGCATTACTGCAGGCTGTCCCCATAGTTGTTTGATCTCAACCTTACTTTTTTTTAATCCAAAAAGTCAGATAATTAGAATTTTTTTGTTTCATGTTTGGCCATTGTTGCCATTTGAGTCAGAGCTGTGTGTGTGTGTGTGTGTGAGTGTGTGTGTGTGTGTGTGAGTGAGTGTGTGGTCAGGTGGTCAGTCATTTGCGCTCCAGCTCTTTACTCTGTTTCAGCTCCTTAATCCTGCAAACACAGACAATTATAATATATACAGTATCTCACAAAAGTGAGTACACCCCTCACTTTTCAGCAACCATTTTAGTATATCTTCTCAAAGGACAATACTATAGAAATGAAACTTGGATATATTTTAGAGTAGTCAATGTGCTGCTTGTATAGCAGTACAGATTTACTGTCCTCTGAAAATAACTCAACATACAGCCATTATTGTCAAAATAGCTGGCAACAAAAGTGAGTACACCCTAAGTGATAACAGCTGTATGTCGTTTAACCATGCAAAGCCACATGTCCTATTCATCATGTTCATGTTTTTGTCTGCTTGACAGGACCATACAAATTTGTGTATCTTGTATTAGAGCAGTTTTAAATTTGGTGCTTTGAGTACAATTCTCTCATACTGAACACTGGATGTTCAACATGGCACCTCATGGCAAAGAACTCTCTGAGGATTTGAGAATTAGAATGGTTGCTCTCCTCAAAGATGGCCTAGGCTATAAGAAGATCTGTAACACCCTGAAACTGTGCTGCAGTACAGTGGCCAAAACAAGTGAGGTGAGACAGACAAGAAGAGCGAGGTGAGACAGACAAGAAGAGCGAGGTGAGACAGACAAGAAGAGCGAGG